AATTTTTCGAAAATGGCCAAAAACGCTGTTTTTAGGGGTTTCAACCCCTTTTTTCTCGAAAACGTGACGTGATGGGACATTTTTGACCCCGGATTCGTGTTCAGCACGAAAAATCCGTTCAGAAACACCAGGTCCCGTCTTATTCGCAGAAAAAAAGTTGAAATTTGTAGACCAGTGTTATTATTGAGTTTTATTTTCCTCCTAAAAATAATGATTATTTATAAAATTGATAAGACCATAAAGACGCAACTTACTGAAATTTTGACCTGAAAAATTTGGAACTTATTCCTTGTATTAGAGAGTCGCTACCTCTGAAAAGGATACGACGGAAACCACGCTGGCATAAGTTTTGAGTTTTTTTGAACGATCATTATTCTTAAGTGAAAAATAAAACTCAATAGTAATTATTACCTTTGAACGAAAAAATAAAAATCTTAAAATAAGCATTATTTTTGAACGAAAAAAAAAATAAATCAAGTAATAATAATTAACTTTGAGCGAAAAATTAAAACTCAAATATTAAATATTATTTTTACTCATTACTGATTATACTCTAAAAATAAAAATCGTTGTAAATTACGGTAGGACGTACGAGCACAAATACTGTGTTAAACTGTTTTAAGACGATTACAACTTTTTGATTTTTTTTGGTTAAAATTTAAAAAATTATGATTATTTTCCGTCCTGGCTTATAACACAAATAGGAAAAAAGCGATTTATGTTACTAGCAGTGGCAGTTTCCCAAAACGAACTTTTTTTATAAAGCGTGTTGTTCAATGGGAACACAGAATGGTGGTCAAAAAAAAATTAAAATGTTAAACTCTCACCGCTATGATTTTTTAAGAAAAAAAAATACACTTTTTTTTTTGTAAAAAAAAATTATATTTAGAACTGCTCAAAGCCCATGAAGTTCTCCATGTATTTTATATGCATGGGGAAATAGGATTTTTTCGTTGAACTGTTATAGAATATAAAATTATCGATACTATCGACAGTACCATCGATTGTTTTCTATTACTACTCCACCACCTGTCACATTTACCACGATGGGGCACGCGTACCATAGTTTGAGAAGCGCTTTGCTACAAAATGAATACTTATGTATGAAACTACATACGCATTTATCTTTTATTCATTGGCTCAAAAGTTTTTGTGATTATACACAATACTTGGATACTTAAACGTTTGTATACTTTAAATTTTCTCACATTAGGCATCTAACCACCTACATATTTACCATTAATACTCAGACCATTTCTCTAAAGCAATTAGGTACATACTTCAAGACATTGCGGGAACAATTTGTAAATATCTAATTCAAAGAAGTACATTTTATTTATATGCATAAACATGTATATACATTAGGGTGGATCGACAAAAAAAGTTTTTCCAGTCCACCCCTAGGATTAAAGATATTTTGAAGGCGATCGCAAAAAATTTTTTTATTTTTTTGCCACGCCCCCCCGATGGGCTATTTACTTTTTTTGACACTACGTCGCCATTTTAAGTCCGATTTTAATGAGCCGTACACCGTTGTTCATGGCTTGGAAGCCGCCACAATTTTTACCTTAATCATTTTTTACTCCGAGTTCAACTTCTAGTAGTGACTGTCGGTATCTCGTTTCACATCATACCTAAATTCCATTTTTTTTTAGTCTGTCAAAAGGCCTTTAAATTCTGTGAAACTTTTTCTTTAACAATTTTTTTTTGGGATCGCCTTCAAAATATCTTTAATCCTAGGGGTGGACTGGAAAAACTTTTTTTTTGTATGGGGACCGATCCGCACTAATATACATATGTATGTAGTTGCGCATTTTGTATACCTACTTGCACACCTCATTAGTTTACTAAGCAGCATATAAAAATTTGTCTAGTTATAAGCGTGCAATTGCACATATTTGTTGTGTGCTTAATTACCAACAATTAAATGCAAAATTATCTACCTACTTATTTTACTTTTTTATTTACGACCCTCTATTTAAAGTACGTATGTATGTATTCATGTAATTGTACATATGTATTTGCAATTGTCATTTAATGTTTCGTAGTCTCATATTTATTGTTGTAAATATTTTTATTTGTGTTTGTATTTTAATTTTTTATTTGTTTCCTTGTCTTCCCTTTTTGTTCTTTTGTCTCTTCCTCTCTCTTTCGAAACGCTCTTAAACAACAATAAAACACCATTAAAAAAACAAACTCTTTAGTTGATATTGAAGCTTTAAAGCACGCACCCAATTGGGGTTTGAGACACCGTAGAGATAGCTTGAGTGGATTAAGTACACACAGCCAACCCATGGTATTTGGCGGTGGATTTGGTGGTATGCAAAGTCCAGCGCCAACTTATCATTCAGGTATGTTGTCCTTTGTAATGTTTATTTTTTTATCTGTTTATGTATGTATGTTTTTTGGTTTTTTTTTTTGATTTTCGGAAACAAAATATTTGCTTTATTAAATAAAGTGATTTCATCAAATTATCACGTTGAACTTTCGGTTCGGGTTTCATGAAATATGTGCTACACTTTTCATATACATACTCGTATATACTATGTACATCCTTTTGAAATTTGATATATGTATGTTCATCATATGTTTTAATCCGTTTAATTTTGCATAATTTTAGGCGCCTACACACCCGGCATGATGACCGATGTGGTACGTGAAGTGAAGGAAGCGGCACGCGTGCGCGAAGATGCGCTACTTAATCGGTGAGTGAAGGAATATACTATTTATGCATTGACTAAAGCAGGCTACAAACGGAAAACAAATTGAAACGATCGGTTCAAACTCATTTCGCCACACACGTGTGCATTTGTTGACAAATTTAATTTCACGTTGTGAGCCGTCGAGTAAACATGGAACTTCTATGCGCGAAAGTCACCATACTTAAGACTCGATAACGACAATTTCCATATACAAAAAAAAAAATATTAAAAATTAATACGATTTTTTAGCCGGTCAGAACTTGCATTTATTTTACTGAAATTTTATAAGCCTGTTAAATGCATACCCAAAAATTTATAAAAATTCTGGTTGAAAAGCTCGAAATTTTGATAACAATTTGTGGAATTTTTCTAAATTATGTATAAAGTTTGAAAGTGTGATTTATATCGGTTTTCTTAAAGCTTGAAAAAATATCAAAAAAATTTTATCTCGAAACACCATCCATTTTTTTACCGCCGCTGTAGGTATTTAGGAGTTACTAAATATGCAAGTAAAAAATACTTGGTATTTAGAAGCTGTTAGTAAAAACCTTGGGTTTTTCGAAGCCGCTAAATACTAAAGTTTAAAAAATGAAAGTATTTAGCAGGCTCTAAATACTCTGGTCCAAAGTACTCAGGTATTTTGTAGATGAAAAATACTTTCACTGCACTTTCGGGATTCTCGAGGCGGCTTCGAGCTTTTTAGGATACTGGGGACTAATTTGGGGTTTTCGAGACTAAATATATAGATAAATATATAAAAAAAAAACTATCAATAAAAATGGCGATTAGGTGAAACTAGTGCTAAGTGCTAGTATACCTGGTATTTGGTAACATCCAAAATACTTAAGTAAATAGTACTTTGGTATTTACTACATCATAAATACCCAAATAATTTTGTACCTAATACTTAGTCCCAGGGTTTTAAAGTCCAAAAGCAGACAGCGCGATTCGTATGAAGGAGATGTTCCAGTAAAATTTAAGGAACGAAGCTAGATTTTATGAATAATTTCTAGATTCGTTCCATGCGGTGTATATTTATATGAAGACCGGTACAGTCTCCAGATGAAAGAGGCATAGTCGAGCCTTGATCTTACTAGAAAAACATAAAGTATCTTCAGAATGTAAGGATCTGAAAAAGAAGTACTATAACGCCAAATAAAGGCTAGCATTGCATACTATTTTGAAACAATATTGTTAATTTGGGTAGAGAAATTCAATTTCGTATCGAAATGGACACCTATGTATATCCTTAAATTTATAAATTGAATTTAAAAGGGATCCCGCGCGTAGGGAAAGGACTAAACTTTCGGGTGTATGTACAGTGAGGACATATTTGTAGAGAAAAGTGCCGTTACTGTTTTCTTGATGCGCTCTGTCGAAGATAGATTTCGAAGACACAAAAGGGCGGGACTAGTAAAAATAGCTAATTTAGTATTCGCTGCGTTTACTTTTAAACAGCCGGTCACCAGGCAAGTAGTGAGTCGAAAGAAGTCTCTATTGGATCGCATAAGGTCTGGGGGAACTTACCTTTAAAACCACTATTTAAACATCGCTTTCGTCGCGCTATAACAGTTGGCTCATTGTTATAACCCATAACGCGGAGAGCTCCTCCTGTGAAATGCCCCCGTTGACTGTCATCCGAATCCCAGCTTCATTTAGTTCGGACTCCATCACTCTGCGGTAATTGCGCTCGAGGGTATGTTGTTAAATGCCGCTGCTAAGTTGAAGAATTCAATAAGTGTAATTTAAAGTGAATTCTCAATCGTTGGTACCATTGTTTGGGTTGATATGTAGATTGTCTGATGTGGGTTTTCGAAATTGCCTTCATTGTTTGTGATGTAATGGAAATAACGGCATACTTATTGGTACAATGTGGTCTAGCAAAAATTTTGAAAAAAGTACCGATAATGGAAATCCTATCGATCCTCGAATATTTTAGTTCAAACGTTCCATGCATTCCTTCTAATTTTGCTATGTAGGTACACCGAGCTACAAAACTATGCTAACAAAATTCTATTTGGGTATTCCAGGGTTAAAGCGATGGTCGAAGAACGGCAGTGGGCATTTAATGAAAGCAATTTGCGCATGATGCGCGACATTGAGGAGCTCAAGGTAAATACTAAATTAATCCTTTAACAAAGTTTCGTCGCTTTACTTTTAACGCAACCTTCTCGCCCACCTCCCTAGTCTAAAGTTCATCACATGCGTGCCGATCGTAAAGACGCCAACAAACGCATTACTCATCTCGAAGCGGAGAACAAGTATATGCGACAAATGCTGAGCAACCTCTTCAATCAACGCAATACGCCCGATGTGATCTATGAGAATGAGACGTTGCGCACACAACGCAAATCCTTTCCAACCGCGCCAGCACGTCGCTCACAGTCGATGAATCTGCATTACGGCACCATACACCATCAACCGCCGACCGTAGCGCTCACAGTGGATGAGCAGGACGAGCGACTGCATATCGTCGAAGCAGCTACACCACGTGCCGCCGACATGGTGACCGTAAGTGATAGACGCGCAGCAGAATTGCGCAGCTCATTCTCAAGCTCGGACGGTGGTGGTAGCATAGGAGCGGGTAGTCCAGGTGCAGGTGCAGGTGCTGGTGGTGGTGGTGGTGGTGGCGGTGGCGGTGCGGTACGTAACAATGGTGCCGTCAGTGGTATAGGCATTTGTACAGTAACTCCCTTGCCTAATGGTAATACTACTATTGCATCCAGTCAACAACTTATGTCGCCGCCTAATTTTGCATTAATATCAACGTCCGTCGAAGAGGAGATGGAAGTGAAACAGCGAAAAAAGAAGGGCAAGAAGCTGCCTAACGTTGCTGGTAGTTCGAAGCGAAACGGTGACACTCAACGCTCTGGTGATGATGATGATGATGACGATGGCGGTCATGTTGTTGATGATGATGATGATCGCGATGCTGATGGCGAAGGCAAACTGTCGACAAAGGAGCTGCAGCAGGAACTACAGGACGCGGTGGCAGCGCGTAAGGAGGCCGATAATCGTGTCATTGCGTGGGTTTAATTACTTGAATACAATTTAGCGAAACGTTGTGTGGCACATAAACAAAACAGCTTAGAGCCTTTGTTTTCCTTAAATTACACATTTTGTTGGGGTATTTGGAGAATTAGTTTAAGATGTGTACATATTTCAATAATTTTGTTACAGAAATTTTGGTTTGTTATTATATACATATCTGTTTAGCCCTTATGAACAACAGTAATTTTGTGCCAGTATTTACACCGGAAAAATTTTGTATATTATAGACGTACATATTTTTAACCCTTGGATAGAAACACTGTACTCGGAAATTGGTTTAGAAAATTTTATTTTAATTTACGTTATTTGTTAATGAGCAGAGTCTTTACATATGGGGAATAATATAAAGGGTTATTGTATCATATTTTATATTAATCGAAGGCAAAATTAGTGGTCAGTATTTCGATAACGAGTGCCAACGATCCGTATGACTCACTAATTATATTTTTGTTTGCTTTATTTGTATTATTTAAGAAAGCAATTAATTCCTCCGTAGAGGCCTTTGGCATACGGATTCTCCAATATTAAAGTCTCAAATTTCATATTTGGTCCCATTTTTGTTATTACTAACAGGATAAAGTTGAGTGGTTTTTCTTGTCAGATTTAAGAATGAATTAACAACTCCAATTAGCACTAATACCACAACTCACAATTTGAAATGAAAGAAGACACCAAGAGTAACAGCAGAAGATGGTTATTTCTCTTAAATCAAGCCCGTGGAACTTGAGAACCTCAGAAGTTGCAGTGTTTTGAAGAGCGATTCCGGCAACTGTATTTTAACTCACCACAGTCTTTTGAAAAATCAAAGCCTTTCGTAAGACAATTTTCTATTCTGCAACTATATACATATTTCTTTTCTGTCTTCCGAAAGACTAACCGCCCTATTCCCACTACTATGCCTGAATAAAAAACAAGAAAATAAATGTCTAAAAATTTTACGAAATTAAAAAAATAGAATAGAGAAAAAACCGCTGCCCTAGGAATCGCTCGAATGGCACCAAGTGCTTTGTTCATACGGAACATTCTCAAGTGCTTTCTGTCCATGAAGGTTTTCCACCATGAAGGCTTTTGAAAAACTTTCGTGTCAGAACAAACAAGATCTTTCGAACACATCGCACGTTTAAGAATATACAGACCTTTTTTCAAAATTTCAATTTTGTGGTAATCGAATATTTATACTGCTCAATTTAGAGCTCAGTTGAAAAAAATCTCCGTCCCTACGTATAATCCAATTATGAGCCGTCCGTAAAAATGCATGCTTCAAAGCGTTCAGTAAAGCAATAACTTTCCACTATTTTCTGTACGGAAACATTCTACAGAAGCTTTGGTTTTTAAGAGAAAATTATGTTGATTAGATTTTTTTTTTTGAATACATGGATTACTGAAAGAGTAAATAATACATCCATGCAATCTGTGAAGCCACTCTTCTTGATAAAGAGGTACATCTATGGCGAATACCTAATGACATTCAAGCTTCATTGGGACCTGATAGAACTCTGCCCAACATGGTGTGCACTTTTAAGTGCATATGTATGTACATAGTTTGTCTCTACGGCTTTCCACCATACTGCCGTATGGTACATTCATATTGTAAGCTCAAGAAGTATGCTCCAATGTAAAGAGTTAATATTGGGATCGATCAAAACCTACAAAAAAAGGGTGCAACAATTTCAGTGTCATTTTCTGGTGTGGAATGATTCCAACTCAGGATTAAAGATCTACACCCCCAGAGTGAAATCTCCATATCTTTTTGCATTCTCAGGTCAAAGTTTTTTTTATGGCCATATACGGTTGCAATTTTTTGCCTGAGTATTTTTAGAAGAAGTGGGAAAAATGTTAAAATTCATATCGGAGCGAAATATGTAGGTTGGGTTCATAAAGCGAAATTTCACGGGTAATAATTTGGTATAATTTTTTAACCCATAAGCTGTCTCAAGAATTGGTCATTTTGACCCCTTTTTCGGAAAGGGTGAATAAATGACATTAAAAAGGTCGCAGAAGGGTTAAAATATTCTAAAGAATTTTCTACGGAAAACTTCTAGGTTTGTATCATTTCGCCCTTAAAAAAGATTGTTGCACTGTAATATCAAATATGGGCAGCAAGAGATCCTCTTTCAAATATATACCATAGGTAATCTATTCCAGAAGAAATACTAAAATTTGTTGGGACTCGTAATTATCAGGTTATCGAACCTAAATTGAAGAGTCGTTTATTTTGAGAATCCGCAATATTAGCTACCATTTGAATTAAAAAAAAAGTAAAAAATTTTCGCTTCAACATTTTCTTATTGAAGTAAATATCCCATGCTTTGAACAAATTATTTTATTTAAACTATTAGCTTACAACAAAAAAAGCACACGCCCGCCATTCTAGTCATTAACAATGCTTTAGTAAACATATCTACAAAAAAAAAAAACATTCCAATTTTCTGCACGCCACTCTCATTCAAAAGTAAACATTGTAAATTCACTCACACGCATCGACATAACAATTCACACTCACTTAACTCAGACTTGCATACAAGTGTAGTACTTACAAATGTACATTCATACCTCATCATCTTGGGCTTACAGGCTTCGCTCTAAGTAAAAATTTTCAAAATTAACTTGCATCTGAACATTATAACCATTTTGTTTGTTCACTTGTACCCGTATGTACCTATTTTTCGTATTCTCTTACTTACTCTCATTTTAGGCTTGAGAATATGGTAAGAACACAACATCTGAATTCCAAAAAAGCCAACAACACCATAACCAACCAACCAACAATCCATCCATTCGCGGCGTCAGTTGCATATACTTGTAGTAGTCTTACTAATGGTACTAGTGCAAATGCTGGTGAAGGTTTTGGTACGTCGAATCACTATGCCGGTGGCACTTATAACATTAACCCATGCACTACCATTAACGTCTCATCGCCATCAGCCACATCGGCAATCGTACAACCACATCAAAAGCAACATAAGGCACATACAATCGTCTCGGCCAGCATTATCGGTGGTGTAACACAATCACCAACCAAGTTAAGCCTCGCTGGACCCATAACTGATTTATAGTTCTAGCTAACAACCACACAGCGGCGAGTTCGTGTCACGCATTTCTGACCCAAATTTGCATTTGTGTGCTGGCGGTCTAAAATGGGTCAAATTGCAGATGTATCACGAGCTAGAGGTGCGATGGAGGCATTGCCGAGCATTAAATGCGAAAAATACGATACTCGAAATACAATTCTCGAAAATACAGCCGAATTTTCAATCCGATACGTTACGATATTTGCTTTTATCATTATATTTTAGTATTTTTTTTACCACATCTAAATATGTACAACATAATATGTATGTAATTGTAATTGTTATTAACACTTGTTAACACATTCGTTTTGCATTTTATATATATTAGTGAGTGACTACCTACTTGTAATCCCAAATGCAACTCATACGTACATACATATATTATTTGATCTGAATATTTTCGTATTCGAAAATCATACAAAATGCTTAACTTTACTTAGTGTATCTACTAAATTTAATGTCTGTAGTTTGTTACTAAAAATTTGTATTTTCAAGGGTTAACCAATATTCTTATGAACAGGGAACGGATTTTTAGGACCTAAATATCTATATCTATCTAGGCTGGAAAAGGCACTAGAAATAGCAAAAAAGGCACTAAAAAAGACAAAAACTTAAAAAGAAAAAGGAAAAATGTTCAACGGACGCCACTACATATCCAATTCGTATATAGAAATGCTCGGTGATTCCGAAAATCGAGTTAATTTTTTGTTCTATGGATAAGGGGTCGTGATTTTTTTTAGGTGTACATGGCGTATGAGTAAAATTCTTTCCTGCTAATTTTTCATACATATGTATGTACATTCATAAAATCCGTTCCCTGGCTATGGATAAAACTTGATATCATTATTTATAAATCTCTCACAAACATTACAGTACAACAATGCGTACAATGCATATGTGTGCAAAGCAAAATATCTGTAGTTTCAGTTGCAAAAATGATAACTCCATTTTCTTACATTTTATTAGTTTTCTTGCCTACTTACAATTACATATATAAAATAAATGAATGCTTAGGTTCGTCCACATATAACCCAAAAATTTTACAAAGATTCAGAATACAGAGCTCGAAATTTTTATAAATTCTGCATAAAATTTCTAAGTTTGATTTACATATGTGGTTTTCGTTAACAAAAATATTTGAGCTTGAAAACATTTGGGGCATTACACCTGCCTGGTTATATGGTTAAAATTTATTGTTCTCTAGTGTATTTTGTTTATGTGAATTGAGTTAATAAAATTATAGTTTATAAAACTAAAACCTCCCTATTATAATTGCCATTCGTACTGTCATCAGGTATGTAACTTGAGAATAGAAATCGTTGCATCTTTTAGGCGCATCAATATTACATAGTTACATCCCGAGCTAATAAAAGGAAGGTAATAAAAAATATAAGCCCATAACCAGATAATCCGGCAGGTGTGAATGCACAAATTGTAAATATTGATATAAAACTCCCTTCATCCAGTTTTATCCGCCAATGTATACATTCGCTCCATTATATTTGCGTTTTTTTTTTTTGAAATATTCACAATTTTTTGCAAGTTATAATTTTTTCGTTAATTTTGTACTCAAAATATGATTCATGCTACAAACAAAACTATATAAACCAAAGTTTCAAACTGTATAAAAAATTAAGGAAAATTTAACGAATGTACATCGAAATTTTAAACTTTTTACTCGGATCTGGTATGCAGTTTTATAGCCCATTCAAATTTATCGCATTGATTTTTAGTTTTTTTTTTTTTGCTGACAACTATAGGCATCTTTCTCCCTTTAAGGTGTGGGCGAATTTTTTTTATATGGCAGAAAATACGTCAGCAAAAAAATTATTAAAAATCAGTGCAATTTCTTAGCCACTTCAAATTTGTACATTCTTATACAAAAATTGAATAGGTTATAAAACTGCATACCAGAAATTAAAAATTAGTAAAACGTCTAAAATTTTGATGAAAATTCGTTAAATTTTGTATACAGTTTGGAACTCCGATTTATATGGTTTTGTTTGCTGCATGAGCCATACTGTTGCAAAAAAATAACAAAAAAAATTATTGCTTGCAAAACATTGTGAATATTTCAAAAAACAAAGGTGTACGGAGGTATACTGGAGTGAGCGTATATACCACTGTTTCTCCTCGTGAGCATCCTATAAATATTGACAGTGCAAATTATATTTTATTTCCGATAAATTTGCTATTTCTTACGCAAGTGTAGACATCTAAATACTTATATAGTTTATCATTTTTCATAAATTTAAGAAAACCTTCATGAATCTCTAAAAGAGTCGGAAATCTTCTTCTGAAAACAGCAAGTAAGCAAATTGTTAAAAAACAAATTTGATATGAAGTATATGTTTAAATATATATTCTACAATAAAATAGCACTAAATACAAACATAAACAAGTAATATATAAAAAATCAAAATATTTAAGATATTTTAAGTGCCATTACATTTAACTGATAATAAATATTTTATTTTTGAGTTAAAAATTGTTGTGGTTTTTACTGGTTGGTGAATATTCGCATTCGCAAATTTGCTTTCCAAAAATTCGCATTCGTATCATCCCTAAGTTACAACTTCATTGGGTTAATTTCTTACTACTATACCGTAGATGTCAGTACTCGCAGTAAGTGGAGTGTGTTGCCAGAGAACGTATATTTATGAGAAGATGCAAATCGTAAATCTGCTATTCTGGTTGGCTTATCGCCGATAGGTGGCGTCACTTATGCTAAGATCGCGAGTTATTTATATTCGGGCATTTCCTCTATAGATGGCGCATGATCGGCTTTAAACAATCATGGATGGTGTACGTTCATTTTGTAATCTCATATTACGGCTTTTCGTTGATAGATGGCAGCTGACCCGCTTTTAAGGAAGGATATTGTATTTGGGATAGAATGGGCATGAATGAGAACCTTCTCTGGTCATACGGTACTTCTGATCAGTGTTGCCAGATTTTGAAAAAAGAACGAATTTCTAATTTCACTTGTCTTTTATGTGTACGATGAAGTCTGGGATTGCGCTTATCTTTCTTTCCAATTACCTGGATTGCTTCCAGATTTTAATCGAAATCTACCGCACCATGTAAAGTTTATACAGCTCATCACTGCGTAAAGGCCCGCAAATCTTTCACAAAATGTTTCTCACGAATACTCCGAGAGCATAGACACCAAAATGGGGTGGAAGGCAAACAATTAATGTCCTGTATGCAGCTCTCAAGAAAACGGTCAAGAAAAAATTGCCATTATTTCGTGTGTGTGTTCAAGGAATTTTGACATTTTTAATACTTCACAGCCTGTTGCCTCACTCTTTCCTCAAGAAATAATGGAACGGGCATATATTTCTGTTGCAAACCTGGCTTGCCTTTTGCTCTTTTTTCACAAAAAACTTAAGAAAACCGTAGTAGAAAGCGGAGCAAATTTCTTAAGAACTACGTACTGCCACAAGAAAATTTTACACAAGAACATTTCTAAGGCATTTCTTGTACGTCATTTTGTATGGAATTTTTGATTTTCTTGAGAACTGCATACAGGCCTTAAGTATGAGTAATCATAGCTGCCAAATTGTACCCTAAGTAGAAACGAGCAAAAAAAACTTGTTGTTTTTATAACATAACCTCCAATATCGTCAAAAAAGGTGTACTTGGCACGTCGAAGTCCTGACGTGCTAGAGCTAATCTGCCATAGGGAATAACGCCATATGGCTTTATTTGGCTTTACATTGAGAAATAAAGCGATATTTTTGCGTATGGTCTTATTTCCGACGTAACTGACATTTTTTGCCAAAAATTGGATTTGCTCACACATGCTCTTGGCTCAAGCCTTATCCATTCGTCCTGAAATATATTAGCCAGAAATGCGATTGCTTTATAAAATATAGAACAATTTTGAAATATGAGTGTTTTATACTCCCTACACTGAGGGAAATAATGCATAGTAAAAATGAATACTTTATATTTGATTATCGTTTAAATATGTTCGTATTTAAAATTAATATTTTCATACAAAATTTATTACGCAGGTGTTTGACTGCTCACATCTGAGTATGTATATGTATGTATATGAAAGTGGTCAAAGAAAAACTATTCTTTGCCATCAAAGGTTCCATTAATCCGTGCCAGCATGGTTTTGTGAGCGGTCGCTCGACTGCCACAAACCTAGCCTGTTTTTCTAATTTTTGCATAACTTCGTTCAAGATGGGACGTCAAGTAGACGTTGTCTACACCGATTTCTCAAAGGCTTTCGATACAGTCACTCACAGCATTTTATTGCGCAAACTTGAGTGTTTAGGTATACCCTCTACATTTCTGTGCTGGGTTAGATCATACCTTTCCAATAGATTTTCTTTTGTTGAGATCGAGAATACGAGATCATACGCCTTTGAGGCCACTTCTGGGATACCCCATGGTAGCATCCTAGGCCCAATACTTTTTCTTTTATTTATTAATGACGTTGGAGCCTGCTTTAAGCATTCCAAGTTTTTGCTATACGCTGATGACCTAAAAATCTTCAGAAGTGTCACTTCTTTGTCAGATGTTTTGCTACTACAAAATGATCTTAACAACTTAACTACTTGGAGCATCAGAAATAACTTACCGCTTAATATTAAAAAAATGTCTCCATATGACTCTTTCAAAGAGCATATATACGCATAAGTCGGCTTATTATCTGTCTGATAAAAGACTTTCTTCAGTTAAGGAATTTTCAGACCTAGGAGTGATGTTTGATTCGGGATTTACCTTCATAAACCACATTAGCTATAACATTCCTAAAGCCTACTCTAATCTTGCTTTTTTGCGGCGCTATGGTAGAGATTTCAAAGATCTCTACACCCGAAAAATTCTGTATAACTCGCTGGTTCGTTCGAAGCTTAATAAGCCTCTTTAATCTGGAGTCCAATTTACTCAACTCATTCCTCTAGACTTGAAAGAGTGCAACGAAGCATTATTCGCTTCGCTCTTGAACCACTCCATTTTAGTGATCCCCTACCATCTTATACGGTCCGCTGTACGCTTATAAATCTGAAATCACTTGAGTCTAGGCGATCTATTCNCTCTACACCCGAAAAATTCTGTATAACTCGCTGGTTCGTTCGAAGCTTAATAAGCCTCTTTAATCTGGAGTCCAATTTACTCAACTCATTCCTCTAGACTTGAAAGAGTGCAACGAAGCATTATTCGCTTCGCTCTTGAACCACTCCATTTTAGTGATCCCCTACCATCTTATACGGTCCGCTGTACGCTTATAAATCTGAAATCACTTGAGTCTAGGCGATCTATTCAATCTCTGCTTTTCATATACGATGTTATTAATGGCTTAGTAGACTGTCCAGAGCTTCTTCAGCAAATAAATTTCAATGTTCCATATAGAAATTTACGCACTCATTACCCGTTTAATATTAAAGTTAATAAAGCTATTAACTTTATTTATTATTACAATTATGACCCCATTTCCAGAGCTCTCATTGAACTTAATAGAATTTCCAAGAGCCTTGATCTGGACTTCGCCTTCCCGAGATCTCGTTTTGGTTTATTACTAGAATCAATGTATTCCTAATTTATACGTTAAATATCGAATTTACACTTAAGACGAAAGCTTGTACATCTAGTCTGTAAGATTTGTAAATCATAGACTTAATAAATGAAATGAAATGAAAAAGTGTGCATACGCACCCCAAGCATGCAGAGCGCCGCTCTGAGAGCGGTGACAACACACACATGCATACATAGTACAAATCGCGTGCTGTAGTGTTGATAGATATTCAACATTTGAATGCAAATTTATATGTCTGGGTGTAGCTGAGTGCGCAAAGATGCTTGCCACAAGTTGTTGATATCCGGAGATGGTTGGGTTCGAATTCCACTGCAGGCACCATGCAAATACATTTTTTTTTTAGTTTTTGTCTCGATTATTCACTTCACGGATGCTTTTTCAGTACGAACGCGGTCATTTTAATATGCGCGTAATTGAATTGAATATTTACCAATATACAGTACTGTCGTTGACGTTTATAGTAAGATCAATTA